TAAAGTGAAGCGCCTGGAGGAAACCCATATGAACACAAGGAGAACATGCAAACTCCACACAGAGAGCACACCAGAAATCAAGCTCAGGTCTCCAGTGCTGCAAGGCAGCAATGTTAACCTCTGTGCCACAATGCGGCACTTTCCTTCTGCTTTTTTGTCTTTTAAACACTGTTCCCGATTATACAAAAATATGCAGTTTTTTTCTTTGTGTAACTTTTAGACTTGTTAACTGTATTGTATGTAAACTATGTATTGCCCAAATTCAGCCTTTTTTAGTGCACTAGCACAAATCCTTTTTCAGCGGCTACCTACAAGTGTAAGATCAACCTGAAGGTTCTGAGGTTGAAGGTGATATTCAGCAAAAGTAGTGTCATTTTCTCATGTATTACTCATGTAAATAGAAGTAGATGTTTCCATCTTTCAACCTGAAAAACTCTTTCTGATAAGGTTAACTACAGCGAATTTTACAAGAGCTAAAAAAATTAGCTTTGTCGCATAAAATAGAATGATGTTAATTGATCTCTTTATCATTAAGTCATAAAGGTTCAATCAGCTGGGATATTCAGTAGTAGCAGATGATGCTTACTCATGGGACATAAAAGAGTAAAGGCTCTGTTAACCTTCCTAACATCTATTGTTAGAGAAACAGTAACTTGGACTGGACTTACATCTCATGTACTGTATTTCAAAAGAATGGCACAGAATACATGTTTTTTCGGCACGAGCAGGGCTATTTTATCTGTTGATCAGTCTTGACGAAAAGAAAAAATGAGGATAGACGGTATATGTAATGAAAAAAAACATGAGGACTACTAGTCATCTGAATAAAAATAATACTTTTTTCATCTGCAATGACTCAAAATGTTCCTTGGCATGTTTCTTTAAAATATGATAAAAATAAGTATGGTCTTCATTGAGAATTAATCTTTTTAGTTGTAACTCTGACTTTAAAGCTACTTTGACAAATTCATCTTTTCTTGGCCTAATTCGGAAACATTTACCCTGTTTAAATGTAGATATCATTGAAATGTATTTAGAAATCTCTGTTTCATTGTCTTTTATGTTTATATTCCATAGCCTTTGTAACAAGGGACAAATTAATCTGACTTTTCTTTCAAGAACCAGTCATAAATTACAAACCCAGTACATGATGAAGGGTTCCACTAAGTTGAAATACATTTGTTGAAAACATTCAAGCCAACAAAAGCTGCCGTCAAGTTCTGGCTTAGTTATTTCAGCTTAGAGATGGGAACATAAGTTACAGTTTTGCTTTAATTTGGACTAGTACTATAATCATAAATGTATAGTATTCGAAACATCAGATAAGATCATCTTCAGGCTTCAGTGAATTATTCAGAAAACCAAAAATCGCTTAAATGTAAAATGCTACTTAAAATGTGAAAATCACTCCTACAGTAACATACTAGCTTGCCTTTATTAAACCCTCACTATCAGATTAAAATAAGACCCATGATGTTCATTTAAAAAAAATGCACCACTGTTCTAGAGGTTGAAAGGACAATGTTATAATCATTCTGCATCAAGGATTATAAACCTCTTTAATGAAGAAAAATGCATTGAAGCTTGTTGGTATGTAGCAGGACTGTGTACTGATCTGCAGATACAGCTGAGAACAAATTGAGATGGAATCTGATAAAGGTTATTATTCTGCATAAACAATTTGCAGTTTAATAGGAGCTTGAATGTATTTCAATTAATGTGAAACTATCTGCAGTAATAAGACAACAACAGGATCTTTATAAAATGTTGGGTGCAAATCGCCTAGCAACACGAGAACCCCCTCATCTGATAACCTTGCCTCATTCTATTTTATTAATATTAATATAAATGAATGAAGAAAAGCAAACATGGCTTAAGTATGTCATTTGTTTTGTTCAAAACGACCTTGCTCTAGTCATGATTGTTGTGTGATAAATGCACCCTCTTAAAGGTGCCCCTCCTTTTGACTACAAAAAACCTGTATCTTTAAAGAATGCAAATGAAGGACAGAAGTTAAGCATCAGCAAAGGCAACCCACAGGTATGAAAAAATGACCTCCTAATTTAAAATTTGGCATGTTATGTAATGAGTCACCCTTGTTCTCACTATGTGGGCTCTCCCAGCACAAATATGGCAGAGCATTTTCATGTCTGATCACCAGCGCAGCCTTGCTTAAAAAGAAGCGATTTCTCTCTCTGGGTCTCTAGGAAATTATGTTCTCAGTCAAATCTGAGTGAAAAAGATCGGAGTCGTCTTAAATGTCAATATAACCAAAATACAAGTTCTTGTTCTGGTGGAAGGGGGGGTGGAGGTTATGCTTTTTTCTTTCTACCGGATCAAATTATATTCCCCAACAGGACATACCACCTGTAAAAGAATAAGTACAGTCACTGGTCAGTAACATAACACCTTCAGATACTGCATTTGATACATTCTTTAACTGAAATTAGTAACCTTTTAAACAGAGTGGTGATTTGAAAGAAATAAAACTAAAACAATTGACATTTTTAAAAGTGTTAGATAAGACAAATTAAAAGGGTGAAACCAAATTCCTATATAAAAAAGCCATGCTATTCCTTCAACAGGTATCTGTTTTGTCAGAATAGGACAGAATTTTTTGTTGTTTTCTTAATCTTTTCATCTTAGCCTATATTCCTTGTGCTGTATAGCACTGTATGATGGACATTTTCACATATGCATGATGATCGAACATCTAAATGTGTTACCGAAAATCTACAGGAAAATTTCTGGGGACTTTCTGGATAAAGGGTAATGTGGAGGTGTCTCTTTGTAGGTTTATCAAAATGTGCTCTGAACATTTCCTCAGGCATCCTGCAGATCTGAGCCGCTAACGTCCACTTCACTGAGCTGGAGTGTGAAGTGTGGTAGGGAGTTAAGCCACAGCACACAGAGATGATTGTGAAAAATACTTACTGGCTGTTGTCACTTAAAGTGGAGCAAGAAGGTGTGATACAGTAACTCTTAGAGACACAAACACAAGAGAGATGGATAGCATAGATGGAAAGGTCATGCTAAATATAAGACAAGAATAGTACAGTGTGGTGCTCTGGTCTAATGAAAACCTTTCAGCTTAAGCTGACTTCTAACACAAATTGTCATCTGCGGGACTCGGCCTACACACACAGGAGTCACTTTTTTGTACAACTGTGGTAATTGCTTTTTAACATGACCACCATCATTTCAGATTCAGAGCAAAAGAACTGCATATAGATATTATGTTGTTCCATTAGTGGAGATCAGTGTGTTACTGAATGAGAAGTGGGTCACACCTTATCTTGGACATTCTAATTATAATAAGCACAGAAACAGAACTTAACTGCAAAATATCGTGCTGTAAGTCGGTGCAGTTAAACTGTGCACTCTGTAAGGCTGATGATTCAGGCTGAAGAAGGTACTGTAGTTTGTCTCGTCTTGTCTTGACGGGTAATCATCTATTTCAAAGTGTCGAACTTGGATGAAAAGAGATCCACAAAGAAACAGCTATTAGATGTTTAAATATACTTTACTGATGTTTTGTTTACCTTCTTGGGGAATTGAAATCAGACCTGTTTGTCTTCTTCCTCTGTTCCCAATTTCCCTTTTCAAATTTGGATATGTGATGATGCCACAGATGCCTTTTCCTCTAAGACTTAGTCTAGTATCATGTCTTGAGTGCAATTGTTCGACAGGACAGCTATAGGTGAGCTATAGAACACCTTCACTTTTCTGAACAAGCCTGAAAGATGATCAGTGGTGAGATCTTATTGAACAGAGCAGACAATCCACAGTGAAGCACGTGGAAGGAGGCAGGCAGGAACTGGGCAGTATTCTCCAAGGAAAGGTTTTATCCAACTTAATTAAAAGCAGGTTCCTTCCAATAGATTAACTTCTTGCAGTCTATGATCTATCATTGGACTTGAGGATTGTATCATGGAAATCTTTCCTATAAAATGCACAGTCAGTGGAATCACTGAAAATGCATAGCAAAAGAAGAGGAAATCTGAATGACCACTTATATCCTTTTTATTGTGAACACAAAATGTCTTCTGATTTTGTAACAGCGGGGGGGCTTTTGTGGCATGACAAATGGCACCAAAAAAGTAGGAATATACTGTAGCAACAAAGAAACTTTATTAATGTAGAAAGATAAGTAGTCAAACCTCTTCATAATACTCCATAGCACTCAAATTGCTGAATTAAAACAAACATGTTTTAGGCTTCTTACAGTATGTAGAGCAACTGGTTGTTCAGGTTTTTACTGGTTTATAAGTTGCCTTAATAATTTAATACTTTAAATCCTGATGAGATACTAATGTTTAGTTTTTATTCTCTTGACAACCCATACTCCATCTTAGGTGTGCATTTATCACTTTAGAAAATGCTGTTATTGAATTAATTTATCTTTGTTCCTTTCATGATTTTTGTAGAACACTTGATGTATTGGTGTATCAAGGTGAAGACAACTTAAGCACTAATGCACGCTGCTGTGTACCTTGTAAGCAGTGGATATGTAATTGAATCTTGATCTTACTTTGTGCATTTCAGGTGAACAAGGACAAAACACATGTGTTCTGGCCCAGTAAATTCAACAGTGATCTGCCTGAGTGAATAGCAATCAGCAGAATTACATTTGCCTAAGTAATACAAGCTTCTATGTTGTTTGTGCTGGGCTCTCCCACTCGCTGCCGGATTTTGCATCATGCGCACTTCGGTCTCCAGTAATTGTCGTTGCAGGGCACTGTGGTTTTCGAAAAAGCAAGTATATCATTCTTGCTTCCTGGCTTGTTTTTAGATGAAAAAGTTTTTGGTTGGTTCTTATCAGACAATTGCCAAAGTAATCTGTACGCTTTAATGGATTACATTTTTTAACTTAATAAAACCCCAAAAATGATATAAACTTTTTCTATATGGTTTATGTACTATTGAAAAAATAGATGTATATGGAATGAAGCTAAAACTTTTTTTCTAAGGCTGAAAGCTTTTCTCTCTATTCTTTGCAGGTCAGACTTGTGGCGGCTTGGTGCAAGGTCTGAATGGAACTATAGAGAGCCCAGGGTTTCCCCATGGTTATCCTAACTATGCCAACTGTACCTGGATCATTGTCACAGGAGAACGCAGCAGGATACAGCTATCATTTCACACCTTCGCCCTTGAGGAAGACTTTGATATTGTTTCAATCTATGATGGACAGCCCCAACCAGGGAACCTGAAAATGAGGTAATGCACCATGCATTCATTTTCTTCTTGTGTGTTCTAATGGGGTGACAATGTAGCATGGCAGTTGAGATCCCTGCCCGACAGCCCTTAAGTCCTGGATTTGATTCTGGGCTGGGGCTGGGGATTTCTGCGTGGAGTTATAGTACTGTATGTTCTCACTATGTTCTCTCAATGGTCCCATTTTACACTTCCACTTTGGGCTCCAGTTTGCTGCCACCAACATCAGGAGTGAGCAGTTTCATGATGATGGAAAGATATTCTATCATCGTGCAGAATGTACAAGAAGACCTCCTTATTTCTTTTTTTTGTAGGGGTGGTTGGTATTCAGGACATTTTATCCATTTAAACCACCAGTAAACATTCTATTACTCTTAACATAGCTGTGTCAACTAACATTTCATGATTGCCTGATGTGTGTAGTAGTTCTTAGGACAGATTTTTACGTTGGGTAAACAGGAGATTCATGTTACAGCCTGTAAAACTCCTTATTTAGTAAGTATTAATGCTTTAAAGTGTCAGATGGTTAACAGAAGTATTAGCATAAAGAGGAAGGAAAGATTATTTAAACAGAGCTCAGTTATAGAAAACAGAAGATAAATATTAACCTTCTCAAAAGGGAATAGTGGTGTGTACTGAAAGTCCAAGTGTGTTTCACTTCTTTAAAGAATGAGTCTCTTTCAGCAAAATGTACATGCTAGTGATAGTGATGAACATGAAGTATCCCATCACAATTCTATCCAGATGATAGAGCTCTGAGGTTGTGTATCTGGAATTGGCAAATGAACATTTTCAAGTAAATGAAAGGCATACCTTTGATGCATTTGATGTTTTGCACACTATTTACAGTTTTCCTCTCTGGTTATTCTGTAGAATTTTGATCTTAAAGAAAAGGCTGTGCTTGTACATATGAGCTATTTTGTGTACAGTGGGTCCACTAATAGTGTAAGTGAGTTGTGGGTATATAAATGGGTTCTGAAGCACATAAAAGTATTTTGAGTTGATACCCTGGCTTCTTTGAGGAAATGGATGGATGAACTACTAACTACCAAATGGCCACCTGTAACCTGCATTTGTTGCCTTTCAGAATGTTATTGTTGTAAAGCCATAATCTTTGGGATTGCTTGGTGTCCCACACATGCCATTACACAAAAAAGGAAGACACTCCTCTCAGGATCCCAGCCCACAGAAAATCTGGCTATTATTATGAGGACTTATAGTGCTTGTGTTAAGTAATTAAAAAAACACAATTTTGGCCCAACACAGTGTGGTTTCAACTGCAGCTGGAATAATATTGTGGAGCGAAACTGAAGATTATTAAGCTTGCAGGAAAAAATAATTTATTCCAGTTTGGATTCTGAACACACAGCCTCTCATAAATTGGCCGAGAAGATGTGTAGTAGATAGGGTGACTTCTCCAAATCGATTAAAATCCATTACTTAATAAGTGGGCTCATTTAAGGAAAAAAAACACTGATGTATTTATGATGTGTTAAAGAGCACTGTTAATAGGGTGTGATGGAACTTAAGAAAATTTGAATGAAGTTTAATAAATAAGAAAAATTTGAATATATTTAAGATATCTTACAGTACATACAAAAGGTGAAAAGCAAGCTTCACTGCAAGAGACTATGCTCTTTCTCTTTCTGTTACCTTAGAAGGAGACAGGTTGTAAGTTGTAGTTTGCAGATGTTTAATGTGACCAGTTCAGAGACTGAATCCATTTAAAAATAAGTTATGGACAAAATTACTTACTTATAGTATGGTGTAGCAGGGAATGAAACTAGAAGATTTACAGATAGCAGCAATGCATTTGGCCTGTGAAAGGTTTGTACTGGTGACAAGTTTATAACTTTAGTGACAGCAGTCCTTTGAAAAATTACATTCCTTTTTAAATTAAAAATCTAAGGGGGCATTTTTAAATTCTAAAGTGCATTATTAATTATGAAAACATTTTACATTTACAGCTGTAAATATCTATTAAATGGAGATACACAATATAAACATACTGACATTTTCAAAACAGACAAATGTTTTAGAAATGGACAATGCTAAATCATGTGAAACAGATGTTTCTGAGTTCTAAGTGTTTTTCTGTCTTTTTAGTTTTGACTTGTCATATTTGTCTGTTAGCTGTTTGTTTGCTGGTATTGATATCAGAATCCTCACACATCCCTCTGTTTAAATATAAAACAAGGTTTCCACAGTATAATTTCATGTGCTACCACTTCATTAATTTTCTATTCACATGCTGTTCAAAAAGCTTAATGAAGTTCTTAATGCCATTTTTAAAGTGGTCTATGAAAACCAGCTAGAGGGTGTCTTTAAGAACCATACTACCAATAACACTCTTTTCTCTTGAAAAATAATCTCTTTTAGAGAATAAAAGACATTTGTCAAAAAGATTTGTATATCTTAATTGAATAATTTAAATATGCTGTTCAGACACTTTTGCTTTTTAAAAATATTGTAGGTCTTACTCCTGCTTTTGCCATTGATTTTATTTTAGCCCTTAAATTCCAAGAACTGTACAATAAATAGACATTCTTTCCCCTGTGTTTTCTTTGTAAACCTAATAATATTTTATTGAATATTGCTGTGTGTAAGTGAAACTGCCTGTCAAATAGCTCTTTTCTTGATATAACTACATGATTTGCACATTTTGTGGGACTGATTAATTGAGGTCTGTTGAAAGCAGTATCTTGTTTCCTTCAAGGACTTAGTGGTTCAAGGTGTGCTGATTTCTCCATAAGTATACTGGGAATCTGAAAGATACTTATCGCTTACTGTATAAACAACAGATTCACAATTATTATACGGAAAATATAATATTTTGTGTAGCAGGGTTAGGGTTGCAGACTTTATTAGTCAGACATATATAAATCAATTATGTAAATTAACATTTGTCATCACCAGTGTGGATGTATAGTATTGATCAACAGGTGGTCTTTTGTAAAGGTTACTGGATAGTACCGCTGAAGTAATTACATCTGTGATGCATGCTTTGAAACAAGTTGCAGATACTGTTTTCTGGGATTCTGTCCCATTTCTCTAATAGAATCTGGACAAACATGTGCTTGTTCTCTGGTCACACATCACTCCAGCTTATCCCACAAATATTCTGAAGGGCTCCAGGCTGACAAAAAGGGCATCCACAGAATATCTGGCACATTCTCACCTTGACATGTATTGTTACACCAGTTTCAAGAGGACATGTGTTGTCCTGCTAAAATATTGTCATGTCATGATGTCAGCATACCAAGGAGTTGTTCAGGTGGGTAGCTGCGTCAACTCCAAAGGAACAAGTAATAGGTTTATTCCGTGCTGGAAAGAGAAGAAAGAAAACACAATGTTTTGGTCGTGGAACTTCTTCATGTGTGAGGGAGTTGTTCAAGGAGTTGTTCCCTTGATAAACGTGGTATCTCGATTCCCGTTTGTTTTTTCCTTCTAAATTTTCACATAGATTGGTCTTCCAACAAGGTAAATCACATTATCATCTGTGCCTTATCAGATGACTCAGTAATGAGGTGAGGTAGTGCTTATGCAACAGTCAGGGTCACTAAATAGTATCGTGGTCAGTCATTAAAGATCTAAAATTATGCTCTGACAGACAGATCCTAACTAGGTCAGCTAGGTATATACAGTACCTGTCTGTACATTTTGTTTTTCACACTACCCACTCATAATATCTGCCTTTCATGTACTGTATCTCTATCATATTTTCACATTTCTCTCATTTTTCCTAACAACTCTACAGTAAAACTCACATCAGTTCTCTCAGTCTTCCAACAATCACTGGACTGTCTGCTTGTACAGTATGTGTACTCACCCCTGCCGAGACCAGATCCATCTCTGTCCCAGTAGCGGAGACACACCAGACTTTGGACAGACAGACCCTTCATTTCTCCTTCAACTAGAGCCAGGAGAATACAGGCTGTGTTTCCTGCTCGCTGTTCTCATGCACATCCTGTAGCTGAGACGGAAGCTGGACAGACGGCACTTTTTTTTCCCATCAGAGTCTAGAGAATATGGGCTGTCTCCTGCTCTCTAGCTTCTTCACCTCATATTTACGAACCACATCACTTTCTAACACATTCACAATTTTCATCACGTGCTGTACGGCATCTACAGGCTGCTGTGAGTCCATCCTACTGCACAACTGGCCTCTGCTGCTACTGTACATAGGGGTGCCTATTACAGGGTGGTGAGGTGGCTCTGTGGCTAAGGATCTGCACCTGTGGCTGGAAGGTTGCCGGTTCATATCCCGCGGCCAACAGAGGAATCCAACTCTGTTGGGCCCCTGAGCAAGGCCCTGAACCCCAGCTGTTCCAGGGGTGCAGCATAAATGGCAGAGCCTGCGCTCTGACCCCAAGCTTCTCTCCATGTGTGTGTGTGTCTCATGCAGAGCAAGTTGGAGTACGCGAGAGGACACATTCCTAATATATGGCCAATAAAGTGATCTTAATGCGGAGCTCTCTCAGAGCTCCAGTGGGTGGCATGGACTCCGTTCCACTTCTTCTCTGCCACTCTGCCTGCCTGACTCCACCACAGCTGCTTCTCCACTGGCACAGGCGATGGCCACTGGTGGCCCTCCACCACATCTGCACACAGAGTAACCCCTGGCTGCCTGGCCCTGCCATTTCCTCAACAAATACAAATACTCACGGCAACCTGCCTACGTGCATTCCCCTGGCACACATTTCTACTTCCAACGACAGTATACAGTAGATAGGCCATTTTAAGCAGGATGGCTTTCAGCTGTACAGTAGCTCATCAAGGCACGAACTCCCTGCAGCTGTATCCTCCCAGCCTAGCACCTGCTGACAGCCTGTCACAAATGCCAAAAGCTTTCAATCAATATCCAAAATCCATATTCTTTATTTTTATTAAAAAAATGCATAGTATGATAACATTTTCTTGATCCTCATTATGCTGTATATTTCATATTTTCAATTTCATAAACGTTTTGCATGTATTTAAGACCAACAATAAAAATGGAAAAA